TCCCTACAGCACTGCCAGTTTTCATGACTACTACAAACTCATTTTTGTTCTACACACACATTCTTCCTCATGCTCTACTATGATTTGTGAAGCAGCTGAATTAGTGCAAGGGTCACTCTGGGGATCTTTTTACACTTGACGCAGGTTAGGAACACAAACTGATCAGTTCTGAAGGAGGAAAATGAGGCAAAGAACCAAAGACACAAAGCCTGCAGTTAAATTCCTGTACAAACCCTAATACATGCTCATATCAGCACTTAAAAGGTTTTTAAGGCAGCCACCTGGGGCATCATGTTAACAACCTGGAAAGTCCAAGTTTTCAAAGGTTTGTTCACTCTGTTTTGAGAAGTTTTGGCGATGTTTGAAGACACAAAACTAGCTTTAAAAAGCTTTAAAGTTACCTATCACTAAAGTATGAAGTCACATAGGAAAAAGAGCTATACCTGTAAAGCTGCACTTCTCAGTTCCAAGCATGTTGCAATTTTAGCTATGGTTTTCTGAAAGGAGAAAAAAAAAAAAAACAACTTAGTTTAGTACTGAAACTGTATTCTTCCATATTTACATGTTTTTAAAATACAAATACAAACAATTGCTTTTTCTTGCAAAGATTTCAGATCTATTGTTCAGTACCAGATCATTCAGCATCAAAAGCTTTTTTTATACACAAGCAAGATTTTCTGAAAGTGCAATAGATGAAACAGTTATCTGTCATTTAACACCCCTCCCACAGCTCATCAACAGAAATGGGGGCCATTCACTCAGCAGAAACTGTAATAATGCCTACCACATCATAAACTGTTTTTTATAAACTCAACTGTTCTGAAGTGATAGGGGAGAGCTAAAAAAAAAATTCCAAAACAACCAGTGTATTACCTTCTGAGAACTTGAGTGGTTTGTTCTAATTTGCCCTTGTAGGGGCAAATGCCTACAGTTCCTCTATTAGGTTTACAATCTCAGCAGACCAAGTCAACCCTCCTCAGAAGTTACAGAAGCCCAGTATCTCAGCGCTGAAAAAACAGTCTGCTTTTATGGGTTTTGGCGGGAGAGGAAGTATAAAGGCGGATTATTTTTCTAGCTTTCTATTTTTGTAATTTTAAGACACTTAAACTGAGTGAAGCATAAAATATATTCTTTGATTCAAACCTGTCAGCTATTTAAAATAGCCCTGAGCAGAACTGTGAAGTAATTTCTCATTTTCATTTAAAAATGTAGAAGAGAGGGAAGGGCTTCAAAATACCCCATTGCTAGCAGTCTTACTTTGAAGAAAGCGCTACTTAAGCTTTTATGTCTCACAAAGTGAGAGGCTCAAGCAACAGTCACATTTGTTTCTATTACTACCAGCTGAAAGGAGGATTTAAGACTTCCATAACCGACACTGAGTGGACACAACTGCATGGTATACTTTACCTTGCCTGACCATCACAAGTTTTTTCACTAACTATAAGGTTTTAGTGAAGAAAAACTAAGACTATCTGCAGAGATAAGGACCAAACATAATTCAAAATGCTTTGTGGAACATTTATAGGGTGAGAAAAAACAGCAACAATGAAGCTACAAAGAAAAGCGGTTTACTTTCAAAGTAACTTCCCCCCCCAAAAGGAAGATTAAAGTTGAAATACGCACCTGTAACTCATTCTCTCCTTTTAAATCAGGCAGTATTAAAACAGCTCCCCCCAAGCTGGATGCAAGGGGAGGAAAAAAATTCCCTAGAGCACAACCCTAGCATCAAAGAACTTCAAGAGTATGGGCATCTGGCAAGTTACGTGGCATCAGTCAAAAGCCAAAACTTCCCTTTAAAGGACGGTTACATTTTAGGGCCCCAAGATGTTTGTAGCAGCAGATAAAAACTAGGCATGCTTTCACAGCTACCTTCCCCAGCCATCTGCCCTGACTCTCCTGCAAAGGGGTGTCACACCTCCTTCTCCATCAGCTCCTGGGCCACCACCAGTTTTAACAAGCTGGGCTAAAAGCTAAGCGGCTCCAGTTTCAGTTCACCTCACACCACACTGAAAATTGAAAGAGTTCAGGAGCCAAATCATAAGCAGACCAGACATCAATACCCCCAGGGCAGAGCCAACAGCTGGAGTGTGTAAAAGCCTCAGATACCCCATTTTCATCTGCCATCACAGGCTCATCAAAGCTTTCAAAGCCATTTCTCCCCAACTGGCGTCTCATTTTGTCTTAAACACCCTACTACAACGCGACATTAACCTAGACTTTACATCCTCGTAGTTTATATTACTGCCCGTTGTATGGAGGCCTTACAAAAAATTTAGTTCTTTTGAGCACTTTCCAGGAAAGTAGCAAGTGATGCCTATTAGCACAGGACACATACTGTTTTCTCCTCTGCCTAGGATGTAGCATGTGCAGCAGTGTACTGTTTGGGGATTTTAATATAGAGCAACATGACTGTATGCTTGCATGAAACATGGCAGAGTAAAAATATTACAGCTCCATTTCTGTGGAGGTTCATTTTGTAGTCTACGTTCAGTCTCAAACTTCTACCTCCCCAAAATAAATTCCACCACATAACAGAGATCCGGTAGTATTAGAGAAGCAGATTCTCAGTCCCTAGGGTGAGAATGCACTACATCCATCTAATCAGCTGCAGCGTAACAAAAGGAATTCCTTTTTCTATTTTAAAACATCTGGAAAGATGCATTTGCGAAGGTAGAATCTTAAAGAGGAAGGTGTGAAGTAATGGGTAAAAGAAAGGAATCTAGAGGTTCCCTCGGGAAGGGAGGGGAAATCTCTGAGGTTTTACTATAGCTCTAACGTTTGCAAAAACCCAGCTGTTCTGATGGTTTGGGTGTTGACAGCTGAGCGAAAGAACATGCCCATTCCGTCTTAGATCAAAATGCTTCTGACTGCACCACAGAAAGAGGGCTACAAGTTTGCAGGGTGCCAGCACACAGTTCCTGTGCCCCACCACAGAATCAGAAGATGTAAACAGATTTTCACATGGCTCTTCCCTTCCTGGTCTCACCCGCAGAGCATTAAGTCCACACCATAAATGAGGTCTCAAGAAGCACTGCTCAACCCCTAGCTCCTTTGTGAATTCACCGACATGCTCAGTAACACCCCTGTTCCCTATCCTGCAGATCCTTAACTGTGTATGCTTAAAACCGCCTGAACTAGGTATCTCCTAACCGGTCAAACAACAATACAAAATTTGTGTCCTCAGCCTCCTGGGGGCTGAAGGGCAATGACAGCTCTAGAAACAGATTAATTGAAGAAAGTTTGGGAGTCTTAAAATAGTAAAGAATAGGTTTTATATGGAATCTATTGAAATATGGCAAGCTCCCAGCAAGCATTATTCATAACTATTTTTTTAAGGGACCACACCCAATCCAAAAGTTAAAAATGCAGCTAAACACTGCTATCATTTTCAGCTGCAACTATCCCAGGCAAAGGCTCCTTTTTGCAGCAGGGAAAACATTCTGCATCTCATTAGAAAGACGGAAGCCATAATTAACTTTGCTAGTTCAAAATAGTTAAGATTCAGTTTTATGTAAACTGAAAAGAGAGCAAGTCAGTTGATCTCGTAGTCAAGGTTTCTTCAGAGCAGTTGTGTGAGTAATGACTGTGCTAACTGTAATGCAGTCAAAGATGTTTGCATAAATACAGAGCCAGAGCAGAGTTTGGCTTTGAAGAGAGGTCTAGGCTGTTAGGAGACCAGTAGTTTAATGAATCATGCTAAGACCATTCAACAGTGCTCTTATTTCAGCAAGTTACCATTGCATAAAAAGCATGATTTTCTAACACTGACGAAAACTCAGCCTAGCACAAAAGCAGTTACACGAGAAGCAACAACTGCGGTTAGAAGAGGGCTTTAAAGGTCAAATTTATTGCACAGAGAACTGGGTGAGAGTAACTATAGCTGGAGGCAAGCTGACAACCATGGCCAAACCTAACTGGAACAATTCATGTAGCACAACACAGTGGTCGATCATGAATGAAGATGGGATTTTTTTAGAGAACAAAAGTAAAATAAAGAACAGCAGGATGCAGACGTTAAGACTGAGGTAAATCCACCACTAATTGTATCTGTTCATATTCCATACACACAGCTTCTGGGGGACGAAATTGTTGCACAGCCTCCTTAAAGCTGTTGCAGGATGACTATTTGCTGTTTATAGTATTTATCTGCAGAGAAATTCTTCAACAAAATTCACAATCACGAATGACGATTCCAGCACTGTCAATTATCCAAGTCAAGACAGAGCCTTCCCTAAGGTCTAAAATGCCAGAATTATGTCCAGCAGTAGACATAAGACAACAACCCCCCAGAAGCTGAAAATCCAGGAATGAACGGCAGATTCTGGAGACTAGTCTGCTCTATCAAGGGAAATGGCATACAGTGTTTTAAAAGTCTCTTCAGATCAAGAGCAAAAAGGCAAGATATTAATATTTAAAAGTCTGAATTCTTACCATAAACAATACATTTATTATAAGATAAATGATAACTGGCTTACAATATGCCTCGCAAAGAAGTCAGTGGTATCCGTCAAGTGTTGTTAGATTAACAGATTGTATGATTACATTAGCAAGTAACACACCATCAATTATGGTGCGGCCATATCTGCACTGTAACACCACCTGTGATGCATGAAATAAACCCAAACATGGTAAAAGTTTATACAGACAGATGGGGCTGAGGATTTGAACCTAGTGTTGTCCTTTCCCCGTAGCTGTACAGATAGCAGTTTTCCCTTGGTACAGAGGAATCACTGCTGAAATCCATCTTTCCCACAGAGTATGTCAAGTAAGAAACAACAGCCGCCTCACAGCAACTCTCAGCAGTACGCATGCTCCTTTGGAAAACATCTAACTGTAAATCTATGCAAAGACTGGAATGAGGGTAAGATCAAGCAACTGGAAATCATAATTAGCTTCACAGCCTTGCTTTCTCCAATCTATGAAATTCTGTGCACAGCCTTGGCCAGTAATATCAGATAAGCAAACCCCGATGTTTACGCATTCTTCTACATTCAGAAAAATCAAGAAGTGGCTCTCATATGACATACAGAACCTCAGAAAGACAAGATATTAGTGAAAGAGATTTTGTGGAACCAGGAGGAAATAGCATGCCGGTGAATGCACCGTCAGGAACTTGGCTGAGCAAAAGTAGCTGTTTTGGTATGTAGATTTTTTGAAGGGTGGCTAGAGAGAAGATACACTTCTGTTTAACCAAACTGCTTGAAAACCCAGAAGCGTGCTAAACTCTACTCCTACATGCCAAGTGGATGATACTAGCGATGACAGTAATTGGTCATGATCACTAGATTATGCTGGCTGAGCTCCTGTAGAAATAGAGACGAGAACAGCAAGGAGCTTGACATCAGACTAAAAGATTTTGCTGTACAGAGTTTTAAGTGCTTCTTTCAAAGCAATAGCAAGGCTCTTATTTTTGTTGCGACTAGCATTCCTCATGGTAGAGGAGGGGAAGAGAATGTTCTCTCAACAAAATGTTGGGGAATTCAGCTGTGTATGTGGTTAATGAAACAGACATCACTATTTGATAACCAGGCTCAAAGTTTCAGTGCATCAGCCCCTTACTGATCAGCAAAAAACCGCAAGTGATATAAATGTCAACCTCTTTGGTAAGTTATATCAGCTTTAGAAACAGGTATTCCTCTGCAAGGATTCAAAACAGCCACTCCTTCTCTTTTCAGAAAACTGTCACCTTAAGACATGATCGCAGTTGTGCATCTAACATCTGAGGTCAGTTATCTCTGCTTCCTGAGCCCCCCAGGCCTCCCCTCATAGCTGACCTCACTCACTTCCACAATCTGGTCCAAGGTACTTTTCACAAGATTCAGGGAACATCTGGAAGCAAAGCCCTGTGTGGTTCTGGTTTATCATACTCACAGGAGATGACGCCTCCAGAAATGAGATTAACAGCTTCGCCTTCATGAAGTAACCATATTTTCAACAGTAGCCACAGCGGGGAAGCATGCAGTAAAGATGACTCTAGCCAACAATGATGGAGAAAGCTACCAGCAAGGGGCAGAGAGCAGAAGCAATCAAAGAGTAAGCAGCTGTCCAACATTAACAAGGCTGTCAAGCCTTCCGTTGAGGAAAGGTAGACCAAATCCTTCTCCAAGAATGTGACTCTCTTTAAGACAATCATGAGCCTTACCTTCTGTAAAGAAGGTAAACAGAACATGGAAGACTGGCTCATTGCTTTTCTTACTGGTACATGTCAACGAAGCAGTTACAAACCTCTGTCAGACTCTACGTAAAGCTGTATTTCTTTGTAATGAGTTTCTTTAAACACATCAAGTTAATCTCCAATTTCTGTAGCCAGGACCTGTTTTCAGAACCAACATTTCCAAATCCAGATCCCATTACTCTAGCACTCTATTACCATAGGTGAGATTCTGGGCTAGCAAATGTTAATTTTCAGGCAACGCCATTGCTCAAACAAGTGATCTTATGACTTGGAAATCTGGAAATACAGGGGCTCTCTAATTTGGTATTCCTAAGAAAAACACGCCTTTATACAAGACATGAAAATTTAGCAGGGCCTCATATCTCAAAAGATTTTATTTTGCTTTTGTTTGAGTGTACGAGACCTCAGGTAGCACCCTCCTCTTAAATCCTGTCACAGAATTGCATTAATATGATGCTGAGACAAGAAACAGCCTTTTCAACTGAGGGGAGAGAGGCAGAAGAAAAGTAATTTCAGTATTTTGGAAGATTGTAAACAAATAACATTCTAAGGTACTACTAGGGAGTATTCTGCCAGGACCCTTCCCAGTCAGGTGTTACATGTTAAGCTAACATCCTCAATGTTTGCAGTTCAAGACATTTTGTATTCAGACTTCACAACATTAAGTTGTGCTAATGTTGTATAAGCAAGTTATCAAAAGGTCATGCAAATAAAGAAACACCCAGGTTATTAAGGACTCTGGCCAGCATGCGTGACATTCAGTATTACAAAGCAGAGCATCTGTCACATCTAATGACAGCAACTGTTTTAGCCATGCTGCGCTCTGTTTCTCTTTGCGTGTATTGAAGGAGGAAAAAAGGTCTCATAATGCTCTGGTCTGCAAGACAAAAAACCAAACCACACAATACACATCAACATCTACGAGTCAAGCTCCTTGACTGAGCAAACAGCAATACTCACCTTTTGATCTTCTGTGAATTCTGAGTTGTTGTGCTGAGACTGTGCCTCTTTTTGTAGATGCCTTGCTAATCTGGATGGGGGGAAAGAAAATTGTAGAGTGGGAACACAACACAGAATCACACACACCCCCCCAGTCTCCAGAAAACATGTCAGCCAAAACGTTCACAGACTGCTGCTTCACATAGTTTTTGAGTTTTTTTTAACAAAGATTTCTATAACCATGGTAGGCCATACTTGAAAAAACCTAGAAGGTGGACAAAGCAGGCAACTACCTGAGGCAGGAAAGACTACACATATAATGTATCATGAAGGGAGAACTGCTAAGAAGGTCCTTCTAGCCAAGAGCCCCTTTATAAGCACAGACCTTTTTCCTCTCCCCATCCCCTTACTCTACAATAACAAACAATCCCCACTGCGCTAGAAGCCCACATGAATTTCACGGGGAGGGTCTGAGGCGCATCGGATTGCCAGGAGGCGCGGGTCCGGGCACCCCAGGCGGCGGCGGCACGCTCTCCCGGCGCTGGAAGCCAGGCGCAGGGC